CGTGAACACATCATTCGAATCGTCGAAAATCGAAATCATGCTTAATGAAGTTCGTCGAATTTCTAGTGCTGCTAACAGCCTTGGTGCAGCTTACGTATCTCGATCGAATTCATTGGTTAAGGAAGTATTGTGGCGTTGTGGACGACAACTTCGTGAAAAACTGGCGCATGTCGAATCGTTCGTTCAATTGGTTGCCAAATTGGAAAAATTGTATAAGTCTGCTTTATGTTTGGATACCTTCGAACGACGTGATTCTGTTCGTCCGACTACTGTCGCAGCAGCTTTTTCGGTATGCTGCATCTTTTGTAATGGTTCTCATGCTTCAGCAGATTGTTCTTCATCTGTATCAACAGAAGAAAAAAGAAGAATTATACTCGCCCGTAGATTGTGTTTCAAATGTATTTCTCCTGGTCATCTTTCGTCTTCCTGTCCTCATGCTTTATCTATTCGTTGTTCTATCTGCCACTGTAATCATCCGACTGTACTTCATAAAGTTCGTCTCATCGAAAATCCGAATAATCGCTTCAATTATCCTTCTTCCTATCAGTCATCGTCATTACCGCTGCCTTCCGCACCGTCTTCGTTTCCTTCGTCTTCTTCGTCTGTCACACAATCGTCATCGTTATTGTCTTCGTTACCTTCTTCATCATCGTCAACCATTCCACCGTTATCATTAAATCGTTCTGAAATTTCTGCTGCTGCAGCTTCGTTACGATCGTTATCTTCTACTGTGGCTTCCATTTCAGTTTATCCGTTTTCGTCAGCCGATCCTATTGATCCGTCAGAATCGTCAGAATCTTCTGTAACTACTATTCCTGATCGAACGTTGGTAGCTCGTTATGATGGAGCAGCTTCAACTTCAACAACTTCAGAGCGTCCCGCGTTTTTGATCAATTTAAATGGAAGTAAATGTATGGTTTGGATCGACACTTGTTCGCCGTACACATTAATTCGTGAAAATCTTGTCGATAAATTCAATTGTTTTCCGGATAATCCTATTTGTCTTTCTGGTTTCGCTGGTGGTTCCGTTATATGGTCGAAAGAAAAAGTTTCAGTTAATCTTCGTTTGGACAAGATTAGTGTCACTATCGATGCATATGTAATATCTGTTCTTTCTTATTGTGATTTAATTATCGGAACCGACATGCTTCATCGTATCACTAAAATTGGTCCATCCAAATCTTTGAAATGGAAATTGAAATTCGGTGACATTTATTATGGATCAGTAGCATCTTCTAAAGAGATCGATAATAATAATTTTAATAAAGTTAATGTCGAAGAAGAGGTGGTCAATCGTTTTGCTTCTCCTATTTCGGATGCTTATTTTCGTAGGACTCTCTCAGGGGTTTCTTACATGGATAATTTATTGTTCGAACCTAATGTGAAAAAAGATCGTTTTTTAAAGCATATTCCCGATACTTCCGCTTCTGTGTATAGTAACCTTGGTTTTTCAAATCCAGCCAATATATTCTATCGCTCGTTATCGGTATCAAAGTTTTTTGGCGTTAAACCTTGTTTCTTCAAATCTAATCGAGATGATCAACTAAGTTCGGCCATTGTTACTTTTCGTGATAATCCATTTCTTCGTTGTCTTACTCTTTTGTGGCGGGCAAAATTGTTGAATTACCATTATAAAATAGTTCCTCCATCGAACTAAGTTCGATTTCATATTGTTCGTTTTTCGAACAATCTTAATTTTTTGCTATAAAAACTAATGCATTTTGTCTAAATAAAACGTGTTGCAAAACCTCCGTTCTCTTGTTTGTTTCGTGTGTTAACAAATTTTCTTTTTTGAGGTTAAAATATTTTCGTTTTCGTTTTCTTAATCTTCGTTTAATCTCGTATTCTTCGTCTCATCTTCGTTTATTCTTGGTTAATTATCGTTCAGAATTGGTTTCTCGTCTTATCGTTTGAAGTTCTTTTCATTTCAGCATCTTTTTGGTTTTCGTTTCAATCGTACATATTTTTATCACCCGTATCACTATCGTTTAGTCGTCATCATTTTGTCTTTATCGTTATAACTATGTCTAGCATTCAATCAGACGTTTCTCGTCGTAAAATAATTCGTATAAAAATCTCGAAAGCATGTAATCAGACTATAAGTCTTTCGTTAGAAGATCTGATTAATCTGCAAAGAGAATACGACATAATCAGTGAAAAATGTTTAGCTGAAACACCCGTTGATTATGAAGATCAAAAAGCAAAAGATGATTTGTACAAACAAAAAATATCAGCTTTGATCACTATGGAACAAACCAAAAATACATTAAGTGCTATATCGATCATCGATGAAGAAATTGATGATTTTTTAAATAATTCGAATACTGTCCAGGCTTCGACTCCTGTTATGAATGCTAGCAATTCTATCGTTGAAAATTCTACCAATCCATCTTATCCCATGAATGTCCGTGCTTCCGATCTTTTAACCTTTGATGGTAACGTTATGAACTGGCATCCGTTTAAAATCTCGTTTGAAGACGAAGTCATCAACAATCCGAATCTAATGGAATCGAAGAAGCGCAATCTACTTCTTAAGGTACTTGAAAAAGATGCTAAGGACAGAGCTATGGACCTTGTTAGGCAAGGCCAAACTCTTCGTTCTATTTGGATCTCGTTAAATGCTTACTATGGCGATCCTAAGAAAGCTGACGAGTATTTGTTGAAGCGTATACGTTCTATTGTTTTCGTGAACACATCATTCGAATCGTCGAAAATCGAAATCATGCTTAATGAAGTTCGTCGAATTTCTAGTGCTGCTAACAGCCTTGGTGCAGCTTACGTATCTCGATCGAATTCATTGGTTAAGGAAGTATTGTGGCGTTGTGGTCGTCAACTTCGTGAAAAATTGGCGCATGTCGAATCGTTCGTTCAATTGGTTACTGAATTGGAAAAATTGTATAAGTCTGCTATATGTTTGGATACCTTTGAACGACGTGATTCTGTTCGTCCGACTACTGTCGCAGCAGCTTTTTCGGTATGCTGCATCTTTTGTAATGGTTCTCATGCATCAGCAGATTGTTCTTCATCTGTATCAACAGAAGAAAAAAGAAGAATTATACTCGCCAGTAGATTGTGTTTCAAATGTATTTCTCCTGGTCATCGTTCGTCTTCCTGTCCTCATGCTTTATCTATTCGTTGTTCTATCTGCCACTGTAATCATCCGACTGTACTTCATAAAGTTCGTCTCATCGAAAATCCGAATATTCGCTTCAATTATCCTTCTTCCTATCAGTCATCGTCATTTCCGCTGCCTTCCGCACCGTCATCGTCTTCGTTTCCTTCGTCTTCTTCGTCTGTCACTCAATCGTCATCGTTATTGTCTTCGTTACCTTCTTCATCATCGTCAGCCACTCCATCAATATCANTGTGTTTCAAATGTATTTCTCCTGGTCATCGTTCGTCTTCCTGTCCTCATGCTTTATCTATTCGTTGTTCTATCTGCCACTGTAATCATCCGACTGTACTTCATAAAGTTCGTCTCATCGAAAATCCGAATATTCGCTTCAATTATCCTTCTTCCTATCAGTCATCGTCATTTCCGCTGCCTTCCGCACCGTCATCGTCTTCGTTTCCTTCGTCTTCTTCGTCTGTCACACAATCGTCATCGTTATTGTCTTCGTTACCTTCTTCATCATCGTCAGCCATTCCATCAATATCATTAAATCGTTCTGAAATTTCTGCTGCTGCAGCTTCGCTACGATCGTTATCTTCTACTGTGGCTTCCATTTCAGTTTATCCGTTTTCGTCAGTCGATCCTATTGATCCGTCAGAATCGTCAGAATCTTCTGTAACTACTATTCCTGATCGATCATTGGTAGCTCGTTATGATGGAGCAGCTTCAACTTCAACAACTTCAGAACGTCCCGCGTTCTTGATCAATTTAAATGGACGTAAATGTATGGTTTGGATCGACACTTGTTCGCCGTACACATTAATTCGTGAAAATCTTGTCAATAAATTCGATTGTTTTCCGGATAAACCCATTTGTCTTTCTGGTTTCGCTGGTGGTTCTGTTATATGGTCGAAAGAAAAAGTTTCGGTTAATCTTCATTCGGACAAGATTAGTGTCACTATTGATGCTTATGTAATATCGGTTCTTTCTTATTGTGATTTGATTATCGGAACCGACATGCTTCATCGTATCACTAAAATTGGTCCATCAAAATCTTTGAAATGGGAATTGAAATTCGGTGACATTTATTATGGATCAGTAGCATCTTCTAAAGAAATCGATAACAATATTTATAGTGAAAAAGATGTCGAAGAAGAATTGTTGAACAAATTGGTTAGTCGATCGCAAACTCAAAATTTCTATGATCGTTATCGTGAAGATTTTATGTCATTTGTTTCGTCGGGGCAAGTGGTTGAAATTAATGATACGGTTGGTTGCATGAATAATTTATTGTTCAAATCTATTATGGAAAAAGATCGTATTCAAAAGCGTATTTCCGATACCTCCTCTTCTGTGTATGGTATTCCTGGTTTTTCAAATTCGGTCAATATATTTAATCGCTCGTTTTCGCTTCATGATCTACTTCGACGTCTTACTGGTTTTTTTTTTACCAATCTGTGGCGGGAAAAATTGTTGAATTACGGTCTTTTTTAATTCGAAGTTCGAACTAAGTAAATATGAACAGTTCGATGTATT